TCTACGTTTTTTCTTGCAACAGGCTTTTTACAGCAGCCCAAGTTTTGATTTATGGGACATCTGAAAACATTTATTCATGCTAAATGTAGCTGGCAAGTGACATACAAAACCAAACCAAAACCAGCCACCTCAAGTGGACAGAAGCATCAGGCCATCTGATGCAATTTCCTCTGGACACCAGACACCGCCTTGACACAATTCCTAATTATTTCTCTCCTTATGCTGGAGCAGAAAACTGACTATTAAGCTGCTAAGACATTCCTATGTCTCCAAAGCCAAGCAGCAACTTTCCTGTATCACATAATGTTTATGTACACAGGACAGGGTAGAGCAACTTTAGAAGCAAAGGAGTGATCCCCATGGATCTCCACAGCTCCTGTGAGGCCTGGGAGCCAAGCACGGCTCTTGTGCAACCACCCCGGGCACACCCAGCACCTGCAAGTGCATCAGAAAGAGCAGCCAGAGCCCTCAGCCCTGCTCAATTCCCTCAGGTTGAACTTTCCAAAGCAGGAAAGGGAATTCAAGATTTCTTGGCATATGCACACAAGGGAGGGAGAGAAACCACCAAAAAACCCAACCAGATACTGCAAAACCCAAGAAATCCCTTCACTAAAGATGGAAAATTCCTTTACACCCTATTTCAAAACCTTTCTTCAATCAAAAGTTAATGAATCAAGAGACAAACCAAATACAAACTCCCATTTTCCTCTATAAATCAGTGTCTGACATGTGAAATGCAAACTAATTTGTTTAAATTACAAGACTTAAATGTGGTTATAGAAATAATAGAGTGTCTTTGGATTTTAATCATAAAAAATATATCCTGAGTTTCAGAAAAATTACCCAGCACAAGTAGGAACAGAACTATAAATACACCATGGTAGCCTCTGCTCACCCAAAGAGAGATGAGTTATTTCCTTTCTCTTAAGAGTCTGAAGACCAATAATTTTTTCATCCCTGAATACCTCCTGTTGGAACAGCACTGGGTCTCTGGCACCATGGAAACCTACCAGTTGTTAACTGATTTACTGGGTATGAAAATCTTGATGTGTATGAATATTGCTCTAAAGGAGGTGACATCAAGGTCCAGACAGCATGAGTGTGTAACATGAAGGAAGAAAGCAACCGTCTAGTTCTAAAAGGCATGCAGTTTGTATTAAAATATGCATTATCTCTGTGTATTAAAATATGCATTATATCTTTGTGTTTCTCCTTCCTGGCTTTTTTGAGAGGTTATTTGGGCTGGATGTTGTATTCAAAGGGGTTTCTGTTGTACGATGTTTGCACAGATTGTGCATTACCCTGGGTGCAACTGCTCTGCTCCAAGAACAAATGGACATTACAGTTTCTTCAACCAACAGGAGTGCACAGCAGACTCGCCTGTGAAAGCACAGTTATGATCCATCCACTCAGCATTTAGAATATCCAATCCAACCCACCATAAACTGTCACTTCAGGCATTTATGGCAGACAGTAAACACATGCTTATCAGAGAACAACTGCACCCTGTGAGCTCAGCCAATGGAGCAGTATTTCTTATCAAATCAATGGCTTATCAGGGACCTTAACAAAAATAAAGGTTACACCATATGGTCTCCTCCTTTTTACCTCTGCTCCATCAAGATGTACAACTTCAATTAAAGCCACGTTGCTCAGGCTTTGTAAGATTTGCTTCCTCCTTGTCTGCCCTTGAAAGCAAAAGCCTACCTTTGGAGCAAGGCACATGGGAATGACCCCAATCAGAAGCTGTGCTGAGCTGGACAAACAGTGCATTGCCCCAGCTTTTGCCATCAGGGGCCCCCAGAGGTGCCACTGCCCTGCACAGATCAATGCCCAGCATGGCAGCGGGGATGGCCCGTCCCTGCCCCTGCTCTGCAGCCACAACACCGAGGTCCAGAGGCACCAGGAGAGAGGCAGCACCTCTGCCAGGGGCTGGCAGGGATGTCTGCACAGCCACTGGAGTCACGTGGAGACCACTGCTGCTGCTGCTGCTTTGGTTATCCCAATTAACAGATGAAAACAAACACGGCATAACAAAACAGAACACAACTGGCATTCCCTTATGCCTGCCTCTCATCAGGAGCTGTCTAAAAATGTTAGGTCTAGATCTACCTCATCTGATGTAAATTAACCTGAAAAACGGAATTACCCTGTAAAGTGGCCTGTTCTTTTCCTTTACTTTTTACAAGATCTAAGAATAAAACATTTGGGGTCTATAACGTGTTCCTAACAACACTTGATTTTGCTGACTTGTACAGTGTGGAACAAGAGACATTCATTTGTACTTGAGACAGATTTTAATCAGTATTATTCAAATTGCTGCAGTGATATTCACAAGGTTTTGAGAGCATCAAACTCACTTCTCTCTGTGCCATCACCAAAAGCAATCAGCACAATATTTTTCTTACAAGCTGAAAAGACATCTTCCCACGATTCTGCTGCCATGTTGCCAACACACACCCTTCTCCAGGGCTTTGCTAAGCCCAAAATGCAATTTGGCCACTGCTGCTCACAATTCTTACAGCCTACCACGGATGGCAATGACTCCAAACTGCAGCAGACTATGAATCTATATGTGTGATATTCCTTTCAGATAAGGAGCCTTTCCCAGCTCACTTTATTACACTGAATTGAGGTAAACTGCTGAGAGAGCCACGGGGTGAAGCTCTTTTGGTTCATTTCCTCCTTGTAAACAAGGCCCAAAAATCTGGGGGCTGCTGAAGATGCTGCATGGGATAACAGCCCTGCCCTGAGGAGCATCCTGCCACCTCAGCTTCCTGGTACCACACCTCCTTCCCGGGCTGCAGCCTGAGCATCTTCTGGCATGACTAGGAATACCCTCCATTTAGAAAAGCTTTCCTTTTGATTAGCTGTTAGTTGGTTTGGTTGTGTGTTTGTTTTTTTTTTTTCATTAAAATCTTTAAAAATTGCTTCTCATCTATTTTTTTCAATACTACTGACAACTTCTTTGCCAAGAAAAAAAAAATTACAGCACGTACAATTTATTATTTTTTTAAGCATCGTTGCCTTTGTCATATTGTTCATAAATCTGTCCTGTCTTCTCGGATTACCTGAGTGTGCTGTTCTTACCAAGCCAGGTTAAATTAAGTCCTAATGTAACGCACTTACTACTCAGAGAACTCATAAACACAAACCCTCCTTGATAAGCAAGCAATAAAAACCTGTTCTTTATTGCCACCAAGGTAATTCATACTTTAATATATCTATTATTTCAGTACTAAGATTATTTTGCTGCAGCAAATTGAATTCGTCATGAAGGAAATAAAAGAAAATGCATGAGAAATGCTGAAACAAAACTCAGATTCTGTGAGAGACTAGAGAACAAGAAATTTCAGAGAAACTGAAGTTAGTACTGATATTACAAGGGAGGATGACTTACGATAACATTATTTCTCATAGTGTTGCTGGGATAATTTGAAGAATGTCAAGACTAAGCATTTCTATACAGCACTTCATCTGAGACTATCAGAGAACAGGCATTAAACAGTTCACTTCACTGCTGCCTCAAGGACAGGATTCCCAGCTTCCAGCAAACCAACCTGCCGTAGGCAAAATGCTGCAAGAGGTCTTATTTCTGACTCATGCTTTCTCACTGTTGCAAAATCCTTCCTTTTCCACAGCCTAGATCTGATTTGCAAATTATTATTCTTTTCCTGGTGCGCAAAAAAAACCTGGGAGTGGGTTGAAAGATCATGGGCAGTCCTGAGAATTCACTCAATTTGTGCAAAGATTTAGAAGGCAAGTTAACCATCTGCTGCATGTTAGAACAGCTGAGACTCAGAACTCTTGTTCCCGTTTGTGATCTTAACTCCACAGGCTCCAGAAATGTTTTCACCAATTTTTTGTATTGAGAGGATCAGACACCACACTCATCATCCCAAACCCCCGCTCGACGCTTTGTACCACACAACAATTTTTGATCAATACTAATGTGATTCACAAATTGAGAGCGGATTTGGAAGTATGGTTTCTATTTCATTCCTTCGGAGTAAAACCTTAATTACAGGGAGGTTAAAATCTTCTTTTTTTTTTTCCCCAAGAGGAGGATGGCAACTGGTTCATTTCTATTCACCAGGCAATGTCACAGAACCGGTATTTCAGTAAGGAAGTTTTATTACACTTTCATGTGAGACTGGAATCAAGCAGCTCAACACAAGCTACAGCCAACACAAGCCAAACTCTTGCCACTCCAGGCAGGTCCTGCAGTGTGAGGTGAGTTGCTCCCCAGTCCATGGCAGACAGATGTGCTGTGTCCACACCCTCTCCCACCACCACACTGCCCAAGGGCTGCATCAGGAGCTCAGGCAGAGAACAGCCCCCTGAGAGCCCCAAGCACAGGGAGAGGGAGGAACAGCTTCCACGGGGGAATTAGGAAAGACTGCAAAGGAAACTAAAGCAGTATCTGCTTCAATTTGAGGAGGAACATTTCCCCAGGCATTAAAAACATGAGGTACAACACTTGTCTGGTGCTCAGTAATGGGCAGGACACCTGGGAAGGAAGAACAGGGCTGATGTTTGCACTCGGCAGATGCCAGATGAGAAAGATGGACTTAACCAGTGTTGTTAAAAATGAAGGATCCTTTTTCTATGCATATTGTTACAGTGCAGAATCTCCCACTTATGAGGCTGTTGTCATCGAGCACTTCAAGTTTCTCCTTCAGGTGGAGATCTGCTGTGTGCAAACACCTGGCCCTAAGCAATTAAAGGAATTTGCAGTGTATTTTCACGTTCCAGCGAGGTAACTGGAGTGTTTCTCAGTAACAGCACAGCATTGTATACTACAACTACTACCCTACCAAAACCAAAATAAGTTGGAAAATAAAAATAATAAATAAATAAATAAATAAACATATCAATCAAAGTACTTCTACCTTCCAGCACCCCACCAATCTGAGACCAAGCAGTCTAAACATGCTGGCTGCACCCACACAACAGAGCAACTGAAGAGCAAGGCAGGACCAGACCCATTTCCCTCCTACCTCCTGCCTTCAGCTACAGGCAGCCACAACTCCCCAGCTCTGTCTTCCCTGCCTGCCACAGGAAGCCCATCTTGCACAGGCACAGTCTGGCTGAAGTTCCCACAGCATCAGTCTGGGATTATTTGGGCTGACACAACCCTGCAGGGCCACCACAGCCAGTGGAAGTTTGCTCTTGACTACGATGAGAACAAGAAAAGCTGAAACTCGAGAAGATGAACAACGGAAGAAAAACATAAAATCAAAGAAGTGAAATCTACAGTATAGGACAGCTAGAGAGGCAGGTTAATTATTAACATTATTAACATTGAGGACATCCCCTAAATCTTTAAAAATGTTTAACTAGCAGAGCCACAGTAAGGAAAGCATGTGGTCAAGGCATCTTTCCATTTTGCAGAGATGAGGAATGAGCCCCTAAAGACATCGTGAAAGGCACAGCAACCTGAATAAAATGTGTCTGCCTTCTAATCCTGGCTGTTAAAGTTCTCTGCTCTGGTTTATTCTCTTCTAAACCTTGATCAGGGAAGTAGAAATCAGTATCTTAAGTAGCAACATTCTTATTTGTTAACTGAAATCACTTGCTACAAGGGACAAAAAAAACCAAAACCCAAAGCCCTGACCTTTGACATTTTTGAAAGCTCAATAAATGACAATAGGAAGCAAAATTGTATCGTGCACCAATAAACTATATATTATTTTATGATATGAGAGGTTACTTAATCTAAAACTATAACTATTAAGGAGACTGATAAGAGATAAGGAAGGTAAAGACTCAGGGACTTTTCAGTTTCATATCTTATCACTTCTGGTGTAATATTAACCAGTTTGATTCTCAATATCCCAGTCACTTTGTGATCTTTCCACAGTTGGAAACAATTACCAAATGCGAAGTATCCAGAACTTTGTTCAGTTGTGCCACTAAAACAATACAATCTTGTTTTCAAGCCACAGTAGCACCAATGCAGGGAGATGTAAATCCTGCAGATTTTTTTTTTCCTTAAACCTGTGTAAACTTCATTTTGATTTTACTCTGAAAAGGACAGTATGAACATTTACTCTCCAGCCAACGTACTTTTTAATCCACTTTGCAAAGATCAGTAAACTGCTCTCTAACATATTGCTTTGACACCTCTCTAACCAGTTAGGTGATGTTTTCTGGCAGGCACTGATTTATGTTACAAGCCTACAAGAACAGTCACATTAATAAAGCTGATTGTGTCTCTCACCACAGAAATTATTTAATGACGGAGGTACTGTCATGCACGTTCACCTGTACCCAAAGGAAATCAATTTACCAGCTAAACCACCCACCTGCTGTTAAATCTTTTATTTAGCTGGCATCGCTATTGATTTTAATTGAAGAAGTCACGACTTGTCATAGCTTGTACTGCCTGAGAACTAAAAACTCTTTAATGTGCTGTAAAAATTGCAGGTGGTTTTGTCCACAGTGAAAGAGTATTGCTCAACTAAATCCCCATATCACAAACCTGCAATCACACGCTGCAGCTATGATTGTTTTAGCTCTTGTAAACCCTTGCTGTTGGATAAGGCAGCTCTGAGCAGGATACTGGGGCTTGCTGGTTGGAGAGAGAGATACGTATCATTTTATTCAATATAATTTATCCTCTTCTCCTCTAAATCCTCTATCCTGCCAGGACTTATTCATATCAATAATCTCTCAACTTCAGGAGGTTAATGAGTGTAAAATATTGGCGTGTACTGCAACGTTAGGGACATAATTTCACATATACTTCAACACGACACAAACCTACACAGAGGCCAGAAATGTGGAACCTTCCCCAGGTCACTGCTGCTCCTGCACCTCAGCAAAAGTGATGGTGCACATCAGGAAACCAGCGAGGCTGAAAAACTCCCAATATATGGAAGACAAATACAAACCAAAAACCAAACCACCAATAAAAACCGCAGTCGGACTCTGATCCTAACCCGGAGCTGTCCTGCCACGAGGGAGCAGTGGGCATTAGGAAGAAAGCCAGCTGGAAAGAGGCAGAAGTGCTGCTCTGAGCAGTGCCAGCTCAGTGCCTGTATAAAACCTTGCTCCAGAAGTATCTGCAGTAAGTGCCCCCCGTGCAGCATTAAGGAGCAAACTCTTCCTGGAGGTGGCTGTCAGGTGGCTATTTTTGGCCAACAAAACAATAATGTTTCTCTGGTGACAAGAAACCTACGCTAAAGAAAAAGGCCAGACAAATAAAATACAATTCCAGCCCAGAGCTGTCTCCAGCCATTTCTCCTCTGGCAGAGACTTGGCTGCTCCTCACCCTCGCTGCCCAAAACCAGGTGTTTCAACACATGCTTATGTTGCAAACAACATCCAAAAGCTTTTCCTTTTGTTGCGACACTGACCCAAAACAAACTTTGAAATCTCAGAAGCTTCACCAAAACAGATTTGTGGTTCCCCCCAGCCAGCTTTAATCCTCACCCCAGAGGAGCCCGAAGGCAGAGCCACAGACACTTCCCGCTCAGGGCTGCAGGAGCTGTGCCTCAAACAGTTCCCTCACACTGTGCCACTAAGAGCCTCTAACACAGGCAGATGGGTGAGGCCTCCAACACCTGATATTTTTCAAGGGAAAATAATATCCTGTTTTTCCCCACTGCAGGGTAAATAGGGAAAAACAAGTTGGGAAGGCAGTTTGCAGCCACTGTTACACGCACAGAGGCACAAACACTTCCCACCCACAGAGCTCACCCTCAACCCGGGTCCTGAGCAATTCCCCCATTTATCTGCTTTGAGTAGTTACCCTGCCTTTTATTACACAGGGAGGGTAATACCTCATTAGATTGAGAATAGATATTTTATAAAAAACATTTTTAATGCAGCTGCAGAGAAGGTAGAGGGATGAGAATCGACCTGCTCAAAATACTGCTGCCCCCACAGCTGACTCCCTGCTACCTTTAGCTCTGCATGGTAATAACCATCACACCTATTTCTCTCTCTCTCCCTCTTGGTATAAATACAAACTTAAACTCAAAAGCCCAGTCAGATTTGAGTTGCTGTTATAAAACTTTTCATTTGACACACACACGCCTCGTTGAAGACGGGCTTTTCTTCTTGACAACAAACCTACGAGCTCTGTGTGGGAAATTACAGAACCACCCCACCTTTGATCAGCCACGTAACATCAGAAGAAACAATTCTCTGTCAGGCATTTCACTGAGCTACTACCAGGATCCTCTCCCTGGAATTCCCAGGAGAGCAGGGAGGCAGTAACCCTGAAAAGCTGTGTCAGCTTGGAACACTGAACGCTCTCTGACAACCCCTGCCTGGAGCAAGTGGCTCTAAATAAGAGGGTAGGAGACATTCTTCAGCTCAGAAAGAAACAAGAGGAAAACAGAGCTGGAAGTGTCCCTAGGCTTTCTAAAATGTAAAAAAAAAAAATAAAATAAAATAAAATAAAAAAAAAGACTCCAGCTCTAAAGAACTGAAGGATGGAAATCTCCCAGCATCCTGCAGCAGCAGCCAGATGGTGTTTCTTCACTTCTTGAGGCCCACAAGAGCCATCTGAGCTAGAGGGCAAAGACAAACACACTGCTGTAATCACACAACTTACCAGCACCTGGCAGATAATAAATGCTACCACTTAACAAACCTACAGAATAAGCTGCACTGGGCTCAAGGGCCTCAGCTAAAGGTAGTTCAAGGGTGCCAGCCTGTAACAGCAGCACAGGACATCACTCTTCCATATTCCTTCCCTTGGATGAGGAAACAACTGGGAGGCAAAAGTCCTCCAAAAAACCACCAAAGTTAAGGATTCAGTCAGAAATCTTCTGCTTAAAAATGTAACCAATTCAGGACAGGAAATAAATATTTACCCTTCCTGTAATGCCCCTAGCTCCGTTTTTTGAGCCTGCATGGCTTGAATGCTACCCAGTATCAAAGCACACATGATGTCCTTTCATCCCTCAGTACAACCCAAGGTAACCAGGAAAAATAAAAATGCAAGCAGAGAAGGGAAAGACTGGGAATTAAGGGTCACATAGGAACAAGCTGGACTAGCAGGAGACAGCAACAAGAACATAATCCAAAATAAGCAACAGAGAGAGAACAGGAGGTTTCCTTCTCCTCTTCTGTCCTTTCCATCCCATGTATTTCTTGTTACCACCTCCCACTGCACATGACTTACTGAAATCTGGTTACCTTGTCCTCTGACTTTGATTATGGGAACTCTTCCCTCTGTTTCTGCAGCAAAGGCAAAGCCTTTACTAGAGGTGACCAACCCCACAGGCCATTCCATTGTGGTACAGGACACCACTGCATCCAGGAGTTTCAGAGAAACTGGCCCTGCTCTTGCACAGATGCTCCAGGATGCTGCAGTTGTATTTACACACAGAAGAACACAGTAGGAGATGTGAAGGTGTGAACTTTCCTAAATACACCAGTGTGCCTCTGCACTGACCCAGCAGCAGCTCCTCTAAGGGTCAGACTTCAGCTTCATTCTCTCTGCTGAATCAATCACTGGTTTCTCAGTCAGCACTGCCAAAAGCAAACTGGAGCCAAGGAGTGCAGATGCTGGCACTCTGGGAGCTGGACCAGCTCCACCATCTCGTTTTGTACAGTCACTGCACAGCTGTCAGACAGAACAGTTATGGCCATTACCAAGCAGGGAGAAGAATGGAGCCAGATACCCACACAGAAACGTCTGTATTTTATAATCAACTTGGAGCCATATGCTGGGATTTACTCCACAAAAGCATTCAGAGATACCCTAGCGTGGAAACATAAATCAGCAAACTTAAAATACTTCTTTGAGGCTCATTTTTCATATACGTTATTTACTTACACAGGAACATACCCAGCAAATTGATGCTGAAACTTCCCCTAACTCTGTTCCCAACAGCAAAGTAACTTGAAGCAGGGATGAACTGATCCACAGCTGATCTAGAAAGTTACTAATTTACTGATCTCTAGTTCAACCTCTCCAAAGCCAAGATTAAAACCAGCTCTGCCCCTGAGGCAGAGGGGTTCTTGGCCATGCACTGGGATGCTGGGAGCAGAGTGGGGACACAGCCCATGTTTTATTAAAATGTGGGTTTCTGGCATTAAAACATCAGAGTACAAGCACTTGACGTTGCCAGTTTACCTCCATGCACCAGTTGTGCAGAATCCAGGGAACACACAGGACAGTTGGAAGGCTTTTTACTTTTCGATTCATCCCGACATTAGGAAATCCACAGCATCCCCTCAGTGTCCC